CCTCTGAAGGAGCAAATTTGTAGCTCAGGGGTATTCTGGATACTTTGCTGTCACTCAAGGCTTAGGGGACCTCAGTGGCCCGGAGTGCCTTCCATTAGCTTTGGGCTGGTAACCCAGCTATGCCCCTATCTGGACAGGGGTAGCCTAACTACTGTTGTCTATGCTTTGGTAACCTCAAGGTTAGATTACTGCAGTGTGTTATACGTAGGGCTGCCTCTGAAGACAGTTTGGAAACTTCAGCTGGTGCCGAATTCAGTGGCCAGTTTGCTCACCGGAGCAAGACGGTTTGAGCATATTACACCGATCCTGGTCCGACTGCACTGGCTACCAATTAGTTTCCAGGCCCAATTCAAAGTGCTGGTTTTGACCTATAAAGCCTTAAACGGCTAGAAGTGCAATACCTCAAGGACTACCTTGTTCCATATGAACCTACCTGGACCCTGAGATCAACTTCTGAGGCCCTTCTTTGGGTGCCTCCTTCATGAGAGGCCCAGAGGGTGGCAACATGAGAACCGGCCTTTTCTGCTGTGGCTCCCCATCTGTGGAATGCTCTTCCAAGGAAGTTTTGCCTGGCGCCTTCATTATACACCTTTAGATGCCAGGAAAAATTGTTCCTTTTTAACCAGGCCTTTGGTTGATCTGATTTACATCCTATGCCCTTTTTAAATGTGTTGCAGGGGGTTATTGGGTTGTTGCTTTTATTTTGATTATGTACTTTGTGGTTTAATATTCTGATTTTATCCTGTGAACCACCCTAAGACCTGTGGGTATTGGGTGGGATATAAATTCAATTAACAACAACAACTGATATCATGTTAAATGCTGGTAACTAATTCTTCTGTCTATGTATAGCTAAAAACCTCTCACCTTAACTGGATTATCAGTATGTATATGGGGTAGAATCCAGCCAAGTCATTGCTTCTACATAAAGATTAGCTCCTGTGCACCCCCTAAATCTGCTCTGGGAGTTCCCCAACCCTCTGGAGCAGATTTGGGGGTGTTGTGGGATATTTGTGGGGGAAGGAGGGGAGATGTTTTGTTGTATAAATCCTTATGCTGGTGGAATGAGTTAGTTGGATACCACCCATTTCTTCTTCAATATTGGTAGTGTTACAATAATGGATATCATCATAAAACTTTTCCCCTAAGTAGTTGGAAATGTACATGATCCATAACAGTTACTGATAATAAATCATATCTCATTACTGCAGTCATCTATCTACCTATCTGCTTTGGAGTTCTCTTGACTGGACATGTAGAGGATTGCATTGTTTTTTAGTAATTGCCTGTAAATTTGGTTCATAAAATATGAACATTGAAGAAATAAATACATTTGGAGGCAGGGCCCTTCATGACCAAATAGTATGCACTGGCACTGAGAATGGAAAAAAAACCCAATAGGGTTTTTTCTTTATATTTCTCACTGGATGCAATTGACAACTTTTAACGGAATAATGGAATAAAAGATGCCTAGGAATGTGTAAACCAAGGAGGATTCTTGAAACTGTCTTCTACACCATATTCTTAAAAGCTTTTAAAGCTCTGCTTACGTTTCTTCTCTTTATAAGCAGCTGCCCACCCCCTGCATGTCTGTTGGTTTGGTTGACTTATCCCCATATTTTGTTTATACATAGGTGTTCCTTCAAGTGTCTCGTTTTACTGAAGGTATTGAAAAGCCAATTCTTCGTTTGGAGATTTATAGTTTAGGCACTGAGCTTAAGCTAAGAACATATGATATGGCAGCCACTGCTTATCTTAAAGAGATTTGCTTAATGTGTCCAGAATACATGGGTAAGTATTTACCTCTGTGTTAAAATAATTATTAATTATTTGTGGTTGCTATTTAGGTTCCTGCTGGAAAGAGTTGTTGGGAAAATCAGTGTAAGGCATAGGAGGATTGGCAGACAACTCACAGCAAAGGCTTGCTCTTGAATATAGTCCTCCTTATCATTAGTTTATTTCTATGCCAGTTTTCCATAGTAAAGCACACTGGCGCAGCTCACACCAGCGCCAGAAAAAAATGTGTAAGTTTCTGTTGTGAGCAGAATAGCATAGACAGCACCAGGTTCAGAACCACCTCTAGACTGTGCACCCGTCCTTTCAGGAGAAGTATTATTCCATTCAGAGTCAGATCTAGACTTTGATTTTGATTGGCAGCTTTCCAAGCCACATTACTTCTGTCATATGCAAATTGAGCCTTAGCTTGAGCCTCATTCATTCCAGTGTCTCCTTCCCTCAGTATCTGTTCAGGGTTTCGACTGTCTCCCTGGAGTTACTAGGTGGTGGAAAAGAGAGATAGAGCTGTGCTATCATCTGCAAATTGATAACTCTTCAAGCCCAATCTCCTGACAAGTTATTTCGGTGCTCAAGGGATGGAATAGAACTACAGTGGTACCTTGGTTCTCAAACTTAATCTGTTCCGGAAGTCTGTTCCAAAACCAAAGCATTCCAAAACCAAGGCACGCTTTCCCATAGAAAGTAATGCAAAATGGATTAATCTGTTCCAGACTTTTAAAAACAATCCCTAAAACATGAATTCAACATGAATTTTACTATCTAACGAGACCATTTATCCATAAAATGAAAGCAATAAACCAGGCATGTCCAACTTCAAATAGGCTGCAATCTACCAAGTATCAAATACTGGCAGTGATCTACCCACTGTCATTGGAGGGACGAGGAGCACGCGCGGGGTGTGTGTGTATGGAAGGAGGGGGCTAAGTGGACACGGGAGGTGGGAGTTTAAGTGGGGGGAAGGAAAGGGAGGCAAAAGTTATCTCTCCCCGCTAAAGCAGCTCGCTCCCCCTCCAAGCCAGCCCTTTCTTTCTCCCCCCCAAACAGTTCCCCCTCCCTCAAGCCAGCCCTTTCCCTCCCCCCCAAGCAGCTCTCCTCCCCGCAAGCCAGCCTTTCTGGATCCCTCCCCCCCCCCCCAGCACCCCTTTTTTAGTTTAGCTTCTGAAACTAATTATAGAAATGATCTTACAATCTAATGATGATTAAATCATATATTGAGATCCTGTTCTGTCACTATTTATTGATCTGGCAACATAACTTTGAAAATACAATAAGTAACTCCAGTGAGTATGTCATTTTGGCTATGCTGTTCTTTGTTTTTTTAGATGATAAAAATAAGCCAGTTTACCCTCATTTCAACACTGGATAATTTAATTGATGATCTTCTAGCCATTGAATATGTAAAGGTAAGAGTGCTGAAGGGAAGATACAAATTTTTTCTTCACCATAATACTGATGTGTTTTAAATACTATTTAAATTGACAAATAATCTTAATTATCTAAAAAACCTAGAGACCTGATCCTGTTTGCTGTTTTAGCAAATGAACATTAGTTTAGGCACTCCATCTCAGAAAGGATGCTGTAGAGTGGAAAATGTACAAAAAAGGACAGCTTGGGGGGGGGAATGACTCTGGGGAGGATTCCATTGATGTATGATGTGTATATACTTTCTTCTCTCCATTTACACTAGAACTCGAGGTCATTTAGTGAAATCTATTTATTTAAATTATTTTCATCCCACTCTTCAGCAAAGCGGGGTGGGGGTGGGGGTGGGGAGGCTCCCAGGGTAGCTTCCAGATACCAGTAATAAGACAGGACAGACAGAAGAGAGTATCATTTCACCTAAGACATTAATTTATGCATAATTATGTCACAAGATGTGGTGATGACCACAGTTCTAGATAGATTTTTAAGTGAGATTAAGTAAATTCATGAAGAATGGCTAAATGGAGCTTCCATGTTCATTAGCCATGTGCCTCTGGAAGGCAAATGACAAGGGGTGCCATTTTTCTTGCCTTTCGTTTTTGCTGTGGACTTCCCAGTGGCCATGGTTGAAGACAGAATGCTGGATTAGATGGGCCCTTGATCAAGTCTAGCAGAACACCATTTAAGTTAGTATGTTAGTATCAGAACAAATACTGAGGAGCAGATGTAGCAGCATTATCTATATTTCTGGATAGAGCTGGGTTGTATGGTATATAGTGTTTTCTCATTTTAACTGTCTTTATTTACCTTCTGAGAACAGGCAGATATTAATTGCCCAGATCTGAAAACTACTTATAAGAATGTGGTACAGCTCATAAAGGTAATAATGATGGCTTATTTTTTGTAATTTTTGCTATGTCCAGGAAAGTGCATTTAAAACATATTCTTACTAAGATTACTTTGTTGTTAGGTTACTTTTTCTTCTGTAGATATCCATTTACACACAGAAGCACTTATGAGTACCATGAATTTCCTAAATAATCTTCTTCCGAAACAAGAGACAAGTACAGTAGAGATCGTCCAGGAAAAAGAAGAAAAGAAGGAAGTTCTTAAGAAACTTAGTAAGGTCTTTCAGTCTCAAACTCTTGTATTGCTAACTTTCTTCCAGCCTCATTTCACATCCTAGGCTTTTAAACAGTGCATGCAGGAAAGTGTTTCGGGCTGGATGACAGCAAATGAAAATTGTGGGTCATGTTCATTTGCCCAAACCCTAATCTAGAAAATAATTCTCGAGTTTCTGTATAGAGTCGGGGTGGAAGAGGAATGTGCTTTAAACATGGTACTTCAGAATCAATAAAGTGCACATGGCAATCAGTAAAGTGCACATCAGTTACTCTGATAGTGTAAGCATTACTGAAGTGTATTGCCTACACCTCAGGAGAATTTTGTTCCTTCTTATTTCCATGTGTTATTTGAAGGAAGTTTAGTTTGAAGAAATCTCTCATGTACAGATAGAAAGTTGCATTTTACCAAATCTACAGTCCTTAACTAAAACAGTTGGATGGCACCTCGTACGCCTCCTTCTGGCAGCTCTGGCAGCTAAGCTTGTGCCAAGCATATTGCTCTCCTTTCCTTTGTATCACATCAGCAAAGCTGAGGGGGGTTGGTCGTCATCTGGGCAGCCCAGGACCTCCATACACACTGCCCAGGCTTGCACCCCTGGAGGTGCACTCCATTGTCTCTCAAGACAGATGGATGCCAACAGCACTGTCTTACTCAGCTTTGGAATCCTAGTATGTACTGAGGATTAGAGAAAACCTATGAAGTGACAGCCTCTTCTCTGCTTATGTAGCCTTGCCTGTGTCAAGTCAGGCCCCGAGGAAGGAGGCATAAAGACATTATTTCTTGGTAATATTTAGTCATTTCTGTTAACTTGAAAGATACTGCTTTAACTCTAATGGCATGTTGCACAAAAAAATAAAATAAACCAATCTGTAGATCTACTACTTTCATAGTTTGCATTCCTCTCTGTATTTGTGCACTCTATGTCTTTGTACAACTGTGATCCTCGTTGGAATTCAGATCTCTAATTCCAAATATATCATTTTTTGCTTTTAACTTTCCCATAGCTTCAAAAAAGTCAAAGTATGAAGATGTTTGTGATCTCCATGTTTGTGCAGACATGTCCTGTTTACGCATTTTTATAAGAGAACAAAAAAGCTGGATATCTGAAATCCGCATTGAAGGTAAGACTAAAATGCCAATTGCAATATTTAAAGGTTACTAGAACCCAGAGGAAGTACCTTGAAGGTTGTGCCATATTAGATTTGTTAATTAATACTGTTAAATTTAGGTCTTGATAGTGAGGTGAAGATGAAGAAAGAAACAACTGAAGTATCAGCAAACTTAAAGAATATCGTTATTTTGGATTGTGATGAGGCAGCACTGCATAAAAAGGTATGTGTGTTCATTTAAAGGGCATGCTAGGCTGTGTACAGAAAGCAGTGTACTTGCAATATAAATATTAGGCTTTAGCCTGGTTTAATTGATAATGACTTTAGTCATCTCTTGCTTATCCTCATGCTTGGTGTGGTTTCTGGGTATATGTTTTATACCAAAGAGTAGGGACAAAAAAGTCTGTTAACTTAAACTGAAGCCCTTCAGCGAAGGACTTACTTTGTGACTGCCACACATATATTGTATTGAATAGTGTGCTGTAGAGAAAAGACATAGGTTGGATTATGTAATGGACACACATCATTCTTGCCAACCTTTTCCGCTATGCTCCCCAAATATCTGCTCCTGGAGGGTTGGTGAGAGGTGTCATAGGTGGCTGCAGGGAAAGGGAACTGGCAGATGTTGTCTCTTCCACCAACACTTCCAATGAAGGACACCTGTGCTTTATCCAAGCCCCTTGTGTGAACAGAAAGACTCCTTCCATTAATGTAAGAACACCTTTGGATGCAGCCCATTACCTTTATTTTGCGGCACACCTTGTAAATATTATACTCTTAACATTGAACACTTTTTTCTGTTCCAAGGCTCTGTATATTACAGGCAAAGAGGTCTTCAGTTTCAAAATGGTGACGTACATGTATGCTACAAATGACATTTCGTATACTGATATGGAAGCTGTTGACAGCCAGGTTTACTTAACTGTTGGATGCATTCAGATTGTTTTTGTCAACAAATTTGTCTCTGCTATTTTGGTAAGCTTCCTTTTTGTTTTAGAAAATACAATAAGGTGAAGAGATTGTTTTACTTAACTTATAGTGGGAGCAATGGTGTAGTGGAAGAGTAGTGCACCCCTGGGACTTATTTTCGAAGTAGGTGCGATGATGCCATTAGTTGGAGTGACTGACTCTCTAGAAACCTTTGTTTCTGGATTATTGGCATAAATGAAGTGAGGGAATGGGTCCAGTTTCCTAATCTATGACTATCAGCTGATCCTTATAAATTGGGTATTAAGCTATGTATGGCTGCTAATTGGTGTACACAAGTTTGTATAAATATGTGCATTTTTATACTGTCATTGGGGTGTGTGGCTATGCAGAGAACATGGCTGTGTGACTGTCACGATGAGCTGTACCTTAAAATTTACCACTACACCACTGATTGGGAGATCCATTTCTGTTTCTCCTAGCCCATTTAATTGAAATTGAATATGAAACTGCAGGATCCAGGTGCTCTTGGAAATCTGAAACAGATTTTCTAGATCCATTTCATTTGGGGTTTCGGCTCTGTCAGGAGAGAGACAGGTGAAATATGTCCCTGTTAATTCTCCTCGACCTCTCACTGGCTTTCAATATCCTCAACCATGGTACCCTTCTGGAGGATCTGTCCAACTTAGGGGTGGTTGGCACCACTTTGCGGTGGTTCCAATCCTACTTGGCCTTGTTGTTTCCAGAGCATGATGCTTGGGAAATGCTCTTCAACCCCATGGAATCTTCAGTGTTGAATTCCTCAGGGTTTGATTTTAACCCCTTTGCTGTTTACCATTTACATGAAACCACTGACTGGGGTTATATGGAGTTTCAGAGTACGCTGTCAGCAATATGCTGATGGCGCACAGTTCTGCTTCTTTACATTTACAGATGTGGCATTGGATGTGCTGGACCATTGTCTTGCCTCAGTTATGGCCTGGATGAGAGCCTACAAAATGAAGCTTAATCCAAATAAGACTGCTAGGGGGTGGTTCTGTATGCCAGATGCATAGGAGGTTGCCTGCTCTTGTTGGGGTTACACTCCCTCTGAAGGAGCAGGTACATAGCTTGGGGGTATTTCTAGATCCTTTGCTACTGCTTGAGGCTCAGTTGGCCTCAAGTAGTGTGGAGGGCCTTCCATCAGCTTTGCTGGTGACCCAGCTGGGCCCCTATCTGGACAGGGATAGTCTAACTTCTGTCATGTATGCTCTGGTAAACTCTAGGTTAGATTAGTCCATGGGTAGGCAAACCAAGGCCCGGGGGCCAGATCCGGCCCAATCGCCTTCTAAATCCGGCTCGCGGACGGTCCAGGAACCAGTGTGTTTTTACATGAGTAGAATGTGCCCTTTAATTTAAAATGCATCTCTGGGTTATTTGTGGGGCATAGGAATTTATTCTCCCCCCCACTTCAAAATATAGTCCTGCCCCCCACAAGGTCTGAGGGACAGTGGACTGGCCCCCCGCTGAAAAAGTTTGCTGACCCCTGTTAGTCCAACACATTATATGTAGGACTGCCTTTGAAGACAGTTCAGAAACTGGTGCAGAATTTGGACTGCCAGGTTGCCTCAGCAGGCCAAGATGGTTTTGAGCATATTACACTGATTCCTGGTCTGATTGCACTGGCTGCCAAAAAAATAGATCCGCACTCAATTCAAGTGCTGGCTTTGACCTATAAAATGTTTTAGCTTGGCACCTAAAGATATGTAATGGAAGGCACCAGGCAAAAGTGTTTCTCTATAACTAGGCCTTTAGCCTTTTAAATGTGTTTGTTGGAGGGGCGTTATTGGTTCTATTTTGTTTCTGTTTATTCTGTATTATGTGTTTTCATTTTGTTTTTGTTGTGAACTGCCTTATGATCTTTGGATGAAGAGCACTATACAAAGTTAATAAATAATAATAAAATAAATAATATTCAGTAACTTATATTATGTTGTATCCCAGCACTAGTTAATGAATTATTCAAACTAGAGTTGGGTTTTCAAATTTTACGCTTGATGTTTATATTCATTTGAGCCACATTGATGTCTAGCAAAACCTTGGGGATTAAAATTAAGTATGTCAATATCAGTGAAAGTATGCTTTCCTAGTTGTGCAATGCTTAGACAATTCTTTGTTTAAAAAGAGGTATACTTTTGTTATAACTTAAACCAAATGGGTCTATGGTGATAGAAAACTAAAATTGAAGTCAGCTCTGAAGACAAACATGATATTTCAATACCTTGTATAATGTTGCCACATGATTATAACCTTTTTCCTTTTTATGTTTTGTTAATTTGTCTATGTACAAGAACTATATAATGCTTTTTATTTTTTCTCTTCTACTCTAAACATGTTATTGCTCAAACTGTGTGGAAGAGGGAAAGACAGACATAGAGAACAACACAGATAATTTGTAATGCATAGTGAGCAAACTGATACAAAAATGATGTATTTTGTGACTGTTATCTCATCTGTTGCTGATTTCCTGTCCCTTTTCTAGGCTTTTGCAACAATTTTCAGACAGCAAAGGAAGCAATTACTGAAGCCCACTGTTCAAGCTGCTGAGAAAGCAGCTACTGGTGTAAAGGAATTGGCTCAACAAAGTTCCAGAATGGCGCTGGACATTAATATTAAAGCACCCGTTGTCATAATCCCACAGTCGGCAATATCTACTGATGTTATAGTTGCTGATTTGGGTTGATCACCATAAAGAATGAATTCCTCTCATTAAAACGTCACTACGATATAGTGTCCCACCTATTCTTGATTGTATACATGTGAAACTGAGTGACCTAAAGTTGTACAGGTAATATATAAAAGATGATTTTGTAATGATTTCTTCTAAATTAAGTTGAAAAGTAACAAACTGAAGAAAATGTACTAAGTGAAAAGCACTATGTTCTACTTACAAACCAAAGTTTTTGCTAACTAATGTTCTTAAAGAGAGAAGATCATCTGCTGAGGTCATCTGGAGGTTTAGGATGAGGTGTTCATCAATGTGCAGTAACACTGAACTCTCTTCCTTTTTATCTAATTTATATGAGGCAGCAGTATTAATTAGTGCTTGGATGTGGTATGAAGGTACTGTAGTAGTGAAAGTAAACCAAAGTGCACTACCAAGTGTGTAAGTTTGCATTACTGAGGAAAGTGTGAAACCTTTGTTTCCTTCATACAATGAAAAGAGAAGCACCAGAGTGCTAGATTTAATCTACAGCGATGTGTTGGTCACTCCAGTGACATATTGTGAGGGGTGAGGCTAGGGGGCTGTGGGCCCCAGGCACATTTTTTTGAGGAGGTGTAGTGAAGCACCCCCACAACAAGCCTCCCTCATCAAGGCAGGAGCTGCAGGGAGGGAAGCAGCACCCTGGCCTTTGGGATCCAGCTTCCTTGCATGGTGCCCCGTGCTGCCAGATGGCTGCAGCTCCGCCTCCCAAGTCAGGCCTAACCCAGGGGGTGGAAGTGGAGGAGAGGCGGTGGTGGCAGCACCCCCCTCTTCCACTGGGCTCTGGCATGAGAGTGCACCTCCCACGCTATGTTCTAAGGTTGGGATTAGATAGTCCAACCCCAGCCATGCAGGGCTGCAAGGACGCCATGGATACGCCCAGATGGGTGGGGTATAAAAAATAAATGATTATTATTATTCCCCTGAAGCAGTGGCGAGGGCTGGGCTGGTGCGGCCGCAGTGGGCTTCCTCCGTGCCTGTCCTCTGGCTGCAATGCCCCATGCACCCAACCTGGGCGGCGGTAGCATACAGTCCCACTGCTGGTCCTCTTAACCCTGCGTAATGTGGAAAACGACCCCTCTTGCCAAACTCCTCTCCAAAACACCCCATTTTTTAAAAGTTTCCCTTGTTTTCTGCCTATATTTATCCTCATCCTTTCTCTGTGTTCTTGACTATGGATTTGAAGAAGGAAGGGGAAGGATGTGAATTTTTGGCCCATTCTGGGCTAAAGGAAGAAAAAGTGTGCAGTTTAAAATCACGCTCTTTTGAAGCTAGTGTATGTATATATGTACAGTGGTACCTCTGGTTTCGAACGGGATCCATTCCGGAGGCCCGTTCGCAACCTGAACAGAACGCAACCCGCATCTGCATGTGCATGGGTCGCGATTGGCCGCTTCTGCGCATGCGCGTAACATCATTTTGTGTGCATGCGCGAGCGGCAAAACCTGGAAGTAACCCGTTCCGTTACTTCCGGGTCGCCGTGGGATGCAACCTGAAAAAGCACAACCTGAAGCAAACATATCATGAGGTATGACTGTATACATCTTTATGTATGTATCTGTATGTATACAATGGTACCTCGGGTTACATACGCTTCAGGTTACATATGCTTCAGGTTACAGACTCCGCTAACCAGAAATATTACCTCTGGTTAAGAACTTTGCTTCAGGATGAGAACAAAATTGTGCTCCAGCGGCGCGGCCCCCATTAGCTAAAGTGGTGCTTCAGGTTAAGAACAGTTTCAGGTTAAGAACGGACCTCTGCAACAAATTAAGTACTTAACCCAAGGTACCACTGTACTATCAAAACAATGCACTTCTTCCTTCGGCAAGGCAGGTAGCAGAGGGCCAAACAGGATTTGATACCTCATATCATACCTTAGATATGAATTATAAAAGTAGGCATGGTCTGGACCAGTAGTGCTCATCTTTTTCAGACCCAGAACCTACATGTAATCCAAACCTGTATTAAGACTCCTTTCTAATCTTTTGCCGTATATTTGCATGGATGTAGTGCCGATGTTGTGACCCACTTTTGATCAGGTTGTGACTCACTAGTGGATCCCAACCCACCAGTTGGAGACAGGTGGAGCAGAGAAAGAAAAGAGAGACTTCTTCCACCCCCTTTATCATAATGCTACAACCCAGGACCATTCAGTGAAACCCACTGGTGGGAGAAGGGCAGACAAAAAGAAGTCGTTTTGGTTTACAGAAGTTGCTGATACATGATGTACTGATTGCTACCAGCCTTGATGGTTTTAAAGAACACTTAGACAATTTCATGGAGGGCAAAGTTTATTTATTTATAAGATTTCTTACTTGCCCTTCACCATAGTTGCAATGCTGTAATATGCACTTATAAAAAGAGATAAAACTGTTACAACAATAAAAAAAGTAAAACCGTTTAAAATAGAACAGGACACATTTAACAAAGGAAGCGGGTCCTACAAAGTAGCTATTAACTGTTATGCTTCCTCAAAGAACAAGTAAAGTGTGTGTGTGTAGGGGGTGGGTTGAGCATTGGGCTTATTTTTATAGACTGTGTACA